TAGTATATATATATATATGTGTGTGTGTGTGTGTGTGTGTGTGTGTGTGTGTGTGTGTGTGTGTGTGTGTGTGTGTGTGTGTGTGTGTGTGTGTGGTGCGTGCGTGCGTGTGTATGTGTGAGTGAACTATTTTTCAAAATTCGTTTTATCTCCTGTGGGACGACACGCATACTCCACATATTTCCGTTGGTATTCACGCCGTGAAAAAATTCAATGAGAGGTAACGCCAGTATGTAACGATACCCGATAATCCTTAACTGGTTATGACGTATTGCCCGTGATTTGACGTTACACGGTTTATACAGCAAGTAACAATAATTGAATTGCATTTAATTGAATTGCACGATAAGAGATGCAGCGTTAGAAAATACGGGGAGAGATACGGGTTGGTAAGGGGGAGGGGGGGGGGAACAGGATCCTTTAGGGCCGTAGCGTTTTACAGGAAGAACCGTTACTCGTGACATTAATGAGCTGACGCACTTCGTCGGAAATTGCATTTGGAAATCCCTTTCGGGATTCGATCGTGACGCGAGTATCCCATTCTACGGCCCGGTAACGGCGGCTCTTCCCGTGCCGTATCTGGGGTGTCCAGGTTCGCGTGGTGGGGGCGCGAAGGGTTGTTTTATGCAGGCCTTGGATTTTATGCAATGAGACTGCAATATCAAACGGCGCGCGAGCGGAGTGCCGTTGAATAAAATATTCGGCGCCGTTGAGGAAAAAAGCGCGGGACGAGCGGGCGGGACGGCAGGAAAATGGGACGAGGAACGGCCACCAGACGCATTTCGATTTCCCTATACCTGGTTGCCGTACAATGGAAACACGGGAGCCGTGCGACCGCGCGGGATCTCGCGGGTGCATTAAAGTGCGCCTCATATTCCCCGCCGATCGTTGCGGTAATTTATTACATGCTCGATCGCTCCTCGCCGTACCGTTTGCCATCCCGTTGTTTCCCTGTTTATTGAAACCTCGATATTACTGTCGCCCGGGCTTCTGAATCCCCCCACCTCCGCGCCGAGTCTTCATTCGTTCGAGAGGAAAATCTGAATTTTTCACGAATCGTTTGCGCGCGATGGCGGACACTTTTTGCGAACTGTCTCAAAAGAATTTCTGAATAGATCAGAATCGGGATCACGCGTGTGTATTGCGATACGCGCGTGATTCTTGACGCGTCACTTGCAGTCGGATTCGTCTCGTTGCGATAACCGTTCTATCGATCTGTAACACGAATTATTTTGCCCGCTCCGTGCAATTATTTCGAATTAGCGGAACTAGGTAGCTTTTAAAAGCGTGATACGCGCGCTACAAATGAAATGTTATCTAATTATAACCCTGCCCTGCGCTTTATCCGCGTAATTAATATGAAATTTACACACGCAGATATTGGCCATTTCAACGGCAATATACCGACAATGTTTCTCTCTCCATTGTTTACGGTCATGCAGCAACTCGATGTTTAACAACTCGAAGGAACTTTCGCAAACGAATAATCTCGCTTGACGTCACAGAGTGAGAAAATGAGACAGTGTGAAAGCAGTGAAATGCAAAGAGAAGGAGAGATGGTGAGCGGAAGAAGGAGAGAGAAAGAAAGAGAGAGAATAGTGAAGTAGAAAAAGAGATACTTCGAAACTTAGATTGGCGTCACGTGGCTCTCGGCGATCTGAAAGTAAGAGACGAGGACGATGGAGAAGGAAAGAGAGACAGAGAGAAATATCGAGGAGAGAATGCGGAAAGAGAGGAGAGATAGAGAGAGAGA